ACAGGAAATCTAATGAATTGTGGTACGTACAAGGGATGATGAATTATTATGCCAAATTGTCTTTACTCTTTGAATAATTGAACTGTATCATTAGGTAATTGGCTGGAAGATGCCACTTGAGAATCGATTAGAAGCAACAAAATTGTAATCAATCGACCATCAGCGAGTGATGTCCACGGAGTGCCCATAATAAAGAGAGTTATTTTCTTCTTCTTGTTTTTTTTTGAGGCAGAGTTGTTTTTCTTTGTTAACCACGACCCTTCTAGATTTTAAAAATGGAGGAAAAATCCATACAAACCAAAAATACATGGATTACCTAAATCTTTATATCTATTACGAACCCTTTAATATTACATGAAAATAGCAATCTGCAGGAATTACTTTAGTTTTAAAAAATTTTGGAGTAATTCTTCTACCAAGAGAACTTCGAAAAATTCATTATAGTTTATTCAGAAGAAAAATTTGTGAATTAATTTTTCGTCGTGAATGAGGAGTTGTAGAGTCATCTCATAAAGAATTTTCGAAAGATAGAAAAATTCATTGTAATTTCTTCAAAATGGTTCCCTTTTAAAAACTTGTATTGGCGACAGATTGCAATATCTAGAGAATTGGATGTGATGGGCGTACACATGCAAAGACTTTTTGTTCTTATTAAATAATTATCAATAAATCAAGAATTTAAATGATCTCATTCACTTGTTGATTTGATTATTTTCTGTGAATTTAAAAAATTTGCTAGAAGCAAGTGAAATTTTGGTAATAATTGTGCTCCTAGACAATGAATGATGTGCAAAAAGTTATATAATGAAATTTCAAAATGGTATTTAATCTCATACTCCTTCTAGTTTAAAATATAAGATAAACTTTATCCATTTACATTTATTAAGAAATTAGTTAAAATCAATTTAAAACAATAAATATGTAAGACATATATTTTTTTCTCAAATAAGTTATCATTAATAAAGAGAATGAGTAAAAGATGCAACAAATGGTCAAAGAAGAAGGAGAATATATAGAAATTTTTTTTTGAAAAACTCATTAAATGTTTAAATAAAAGTAAATATTATCTGATAAAAAACCCAAGAACTTTAACAAAGTTTACCTTATATTTTGAAACAGAGGGGTAATATTATAATCGAAGAATTTTTGTATCTGGGCTTCAACTAATGCGCTTGATTAGTTGCTTTAATTCGTAGCTTCAAACACAAAATTCTTTAAGTATTCTTTCAAATCTTGCATAAGCAAAGCAAGAAGTCAGTCCCACACTTATCACAAGTAACTCAAATTATCCTTATCAATAGATCCATGTATGCAGCATATCATCTAAAATTATATATTCGACTTTCTTTATCTATTTTCTGATTATTTTGAAAATTTATTCAAATATCGTAAAATTTCTTTTATGCAATATTTTTTTAAAAAGAAAGTAATTTTTTAGTGATAAAGAGGTTCAATTAAACAACCATGCTCTATTTAGACATGTCCTTGATGAAAAAGAAAAGTATGTACATTTTATGGGAAATTATCCTTATCAATAGATATAGAAAGTCGCATATATAATTTAGATTCTATGCTATATATATATATAGATATATATATATATATATATATGGATCCAAATTAATTGGTCTGGCAAATACTGAATGGTTAACATCAATGGACCCTCTAAAGGAAAAATAACAAGTCATTTCGGAGAAATTTCAAAATGGCCCCCCTATTTGGTAGAACAAAATACCCGAAGACAAATGTATCGAAACCAAGAAAGGGGTTAGAAAGATCCTAAACTGCCTACATAGACTCAGTTCAATCGCAAGAGAAGAAACCAAGGAAGATTGAAGCAAAGTAAGGAAGAATACTGAAAGATGGGAATTTGGGCGAGAGAACAAGTGTGGTGACTGGTGGCTGTTATTATAATATTAGTGTTTAATGGGTAACATCTTTTAAAAATATTAATACAGCACTTACCGGGTGTTAGAGTTTAAAGAATAACTTCTGAAAAACAAATTTGAGGATTTTGAAGAATACATTTTAAAAAAAATTAATTTTGTAAGTATAGATTAAAAAAATGTGAATATATTTTTAAAAAAGATATTATGACTAGATTTTCTGAAAAAATTTATTTTAATAAAGTAAAAATGTGTAGATAGTTGTTTTCATAATCATTTTTTATGTGGAAGTCATTAAAAAGGATATATGTTAATATGATAATTATATAAAAATACATTTTTATTTTTATTTTTGTTTAAAATAATAAATTATATATAAAAAAAACAGTCTTTGAATATAATTTTATATAAAAAGAATCATGAGTAAAATGGTATCACTAAAATTATATCTTTATCCTTTATATTTTTATCATTTTTCATCCGTAGGCGTCATAACTTCGTCATTCAAGTCGGCGAAAAATTATGACTCAGCATCCTTATCAAGTTATTGATGCTCCATCTTATGCTGTGAAGGCGCGCAATAATGCAGTTTCGATTGATTGCTACTGTGACGGATGCAATGAATCTTGAAAGTGGCCGCATATTATAAAGGAATCCCCTTTTTATTTATTTATCATTTTTTTGGAATGAAGTGAGTGACCCAAGAAGACCGAAGAAAAATAACCACCAAATCCACGTGACAGAATCACGTCATGAAATCTTGCGTCGCACAGATTGCGTACTATAGGTTGTTGAGTTGTCTACTTTTTTTTGACTTGTTATTCTTTGAATAAATATACACACATATTACCTCTTATTTTAAATATAAAAACTAATTGACTAATTTAAATATAGTAAGAAAATAAGTTATATTAGTTATTTGTGATAAATAAGTGTTGTTTTTTTAAAAATATTTTTACTACTCAAGTTTATTGGCTAGAATTCTAGAACTACCATTATTAGAAGAACTATCTTTTTATTTATTTATCATTTTTTTGGAATGAAATTACCCATATGCCCTTATGTAACATAAATGACATTAATAAAACTGAAAATGAAAAGTGTTGAATTGACAATGACACATTGAATTGAAAATGACAAGTTTCGTACGCAATTTTTTTTGTTCTATATTATTTTAGTTAGTTAGTTAATTAACAAGTTATGAACTGAAAATGACAAGTGTTAAACTGACAATGACAAGTGATAAATTGGAAATGACAACTTTCATAACTTTTTTTATTCTGCATTATTTTAGTTACATAACAAATTGTGAATTAAAAATGATAGTGTTGAACTAGTAATGATAAGTACTGAACTGGAATTAACAAGTTTCATAACTTGTTTTTGTCACAAAAAGACTTGTGGGTAATTTCACAACATTTTCAAAATGTCAATTTAGGTCTCACATCCTATCTTCTTATTTTCAAGTGTTAGCTACCCGAATTAGAATTTAATTTCATTTTAATTCTTAGGGTCCAGTAAAATTTCAAATTTTTTTCAAAGGAAGTAAAATTCTCTCAATTAATTATTTCTCCATGACTTGCTGCATGGACTAATTATGAGTACAATTACACCATTAAAGGGATTAAGAATAAAACTGCACATGTAAAATAATACTAGGAGTAAAATTAAACCTTTAAATAATTCAAAAATTAAGGAATGAATTTTAAATAAGTCATATCAAGTCAAATTTAAGCTATTGAGTTTTTAAGTGAATCCTATATTACTTCCGGTCTTTAATATAAGAGTTAGTTTCATATTCAATTTGATTGTAAATTTAAAACTCCAATCCACTTTCTGTCTAATATTCATCCATTTCTCCCCAATTAATCTCTATAATATTGCACATGTTAGGTAGTTTTCATCAAGTTTAGCTCCAGTAAATATGACAAACAAGGAAATTTTAGGGTAATCCTTAATTATAATAGAAAATCCCTGTGAATTTCAACCCAAAAAAAAAAAAAAAAAATTCCTGTGAATTATCACTCTAATTTTTAATTATAAGTCACTTATAATTCATATATTAAAATACAATAAATTGATGAGAGTTTTTTAATTTCACCCTCATTAAAATTTTCTCTTATGCATTTACAAATCATTCCCTTATATCTCTCTTTTTTCTCGTTTTTCAGTGAAAATTTAATAAGTTATGTACCAAACATGCACACACAAAAAAAAAAAAATCAATCAAGAAAGGGGGCATGTATTTAAATGTCTGTTTGTGTATCTATATTAATATTTGGATTTGTCCAGGTTAAAATATGCCTCAAAATATTTTTTAAAAGGACAAAACATCCAATGTTTTTCAAGGGGAAAAAATACTTTTTCACCAAAAAAGAAAATACTTGATTGCCATCGATGAATCATTACATATAGTTGCTCCTAGAGGACTAAATTTAAATGCTTTTTATTAATAAATAAATAAATAACTCAGTCATATCCCTCTTTCTCTATATCTGTTTTTTATCCTTTTATTCTCTATCTCCATAATCTTTGATATAGCTATTCTTGCTTAGCACTTTCTTTTGAAGAAAGGAATGACGTGATCTTTTTTTTTTTTTGAATTTTCCTATTCGTATAAATTTAAAAAAATTAGAAAATAGGAATGGAAGACCTTTAGTTTAACTTTTTTTTTTTTTTTTACTGAAGACTTTTAGATTTACTTGTTAGAGAAGTAAATGCATAATTGATTTGAAATGACTCGGAGAATTGGATAGAAACGCAAATTACCCCGAAAATTGAAACTTTTTCTCCACGTCACTTGGTGATTTGCTTCGTGAATGCGTTATTTTCTACACATAACTACCCACTACGAAGGATTATTTTCCACAGAAAAAGCATGGAAGGCTAAAAAGGCTAGTCCCTTTCAACTTTGAAACAACGAAAATATGAAACTTTTGGTTCCCTGATACATTTTTTTTTTCATATAATTTTTTTTTTACATTTTTTATGCATGAAAGATATTAGGCTTTATGTCTGTGTCTATATATTCATTACAAATCTCAGAAGAGGGAATCACATCCCAAGCGCTCTCCCCCGTTATATGCTTCCTCTCGATTCCTTTATATTCCATTGATGGACGCATTATATGCAGCTTCAGTGCATAGTTTCTTCAGTAATGAAGATTCATCCCTCACCCATCGCATCAGTGGCATAACCAGAATGTGTATTCTTATATTATGTGTAAACTTGGTGGCAATTACCCATACTGCCTTGCCTACTCCTGAGCTTTACTGGAAGTCCACGCTTCCCACTACTCCAATGCCCAGATCTATTACTGATCTCCTACACCGACCTGGTTAGTCTTGTATCACTGTTCATTCGTAGTTTTTTTCACTTGACAAATAAGGTCGTACAGTAAGTTTCTTTAAGTGCTAATATGTGTATAGTTCATGCTGGCAAGTCAGGTGTGCCGGTGTTCAATACTGCCCGTCGGTTTTCGAAGTGTTATGGTATTCCTGGTCATTGTCTCTTTGAGACCAAACCCCAAGATAACCCAAACACAGATCTCTTCTTCCTGGAAAAGGATTTGAAATCGGGTCACAATATGAAATTTCTCTTCACTACGCAGTCCTCCAACCAAGCTTCATTCCTGCCTCGTGATGTCGTGAAATCCATTCCCTTTTCTTCAAGCAAGGTTCGTAGTGTCTGACTCAAAAACTTTACCATTTCTGTGTGTGAACTTTGGCATTCTGGCGGACCCTCTCAAGGGAAAAATACTCTAAAATTAGTGTAGTTTCTTTTTAATTTAGATACAAATTCTTTGAAAAATCACAAAAAACTGAAAACAGTACTATTTTCTTTCTAGTAAGATATCAAAATGTAACTTATTTTATATAGAGTTAATATCATCTTCAGTTCCTGAAATTTGATTTTGTTATGATTTTGGTCCCTGAAATTTGAAACCAGTCACTTTGTTCATTGAAATTTAATTTCATTTCGGTCTGCTTGAAGACTTAGTCCTTGAAACAGCATTTTTATCCCTGAAACAATGACCCAAACCAAAATGAGGTCAAATTTCAATAACCAAAACCACTAGTTTTAAATTTCAAGGATAAAAACTAAAATGAGGGTAAATTTCAAAGACATGCAAAAACCATTGGTTTCAAATTTTGTGTATCAAAACTAAAATCAAATCAAATTTTAAGAATTAAATATAATATTAAACCTTTGACGGAATCTAATGATAAAAAAATGAAAAAAAAAATTGGAAAGTGGGTAAAAACTAAGTACAGCTAACACCCCGAATCCGATATACTGTAATTAAAAAAAAAAAAAAAAACAGATCATAGTTCATGTATTTATGATTCGTTTACCAACAGATGGCTGACATACTGAACAAGTTTGCTGCGAAGCCTGGCTCAATAAAAGCTGAGGTTATGGAGAACACAATTGAAGTGTGTGAGGAGTCGGGGATTAAAGGAGAAGAGAAGTATTGTGCAACATCTTTAGAATCCATGCTTGATTTCACCATCCTGAGGCTTGGCAGAAACGTTCAAGCTTTGTCTACGGAGGTGATGAAGAAGACGGAAACAAAGAAGCAACAATACACAATAACTAATGGGGTGAAGAAGGTGGGAGGGGCAAATCTGGTGGTATGCCACAAGCTCAATTATGTGTATGCTGTGTTCTACTGTCACAAAATAGAGAACACAGTGGCCTATACGGTGTCGTTGGAGGGGGCTGACGGGAGTAGAGTGAAAGCTGTGAGTGTGTGTCACAGAGACACGTCACAGTGGTACCCAAAACATTTGGCCTTCCAAATGCTAAAAGTGAAACCAGGCAGTGTTCCAATATGCCACTTCCTTTATGAGGACACCGTTGCGTGGGTTCCCAAACAAAACTAGGAATCAATTTCTACGTACCCTACGGTCGATTAGGAGTGAGCTTTAAATAAATAAAAGCAGGGCTGCATGATCTAAATATAGAGTGGCGACAGAGAACCCATGTCCTACTTAAACAATATCTCTTGTTTGTGTGTTCCAATCTATGTATGAGTGATATATATAAAGCCAAGGAGGCTTTCGGTTTCTCAATTTATTTTACTTACCATCACCATAATTAAGAATCTCACGTTGGCCTTTGGCATGCAATTTAGATCTGCTGAAGACACAGATTCTTCTAAAAGATCTTAAAATCCCTACCAAATCATAAATCATATGAATAAATCAATTAAAAATTAAAACTAGGGATTCATCATTCCTGTTCGATCCCGCATATATATTCCTCTTAGCACATGATTCTTCAAGCTTAGGAGGGACAACATATGCCTTTGTTTTTCTCATCCTCCCTTACATCAGTGTAACACGTTTGTGAAACCAATCCGTTGGTCGTTTGATAAGGTGCGCGTTATATATCCTTTGGTTACTCATAGTACTACCTCCGATCCTAAATATGAAAGCTAGTTAAATATCCTTTGGTTCCTCTTAGTACTACCTCATAGATTTGGTCCAATATATTATACATCAATTTACTTTGTCTCTCAAATTTATAATTTTTTCCCAACATATTCCTATTAATTGTAAGGGTTTCCGCCAGAGGTAATTCTAATGTACATAATTAAATAAAATAATTTAGAAAGTCAATTTATTATAAATAACCAACTTAATTAACTAATATTCTTAATTTTTTTAAATTAATTATCTAGTTCTTCTATTAAAAATCAGAGGTAGTAATTGCTTTGCTTTACCCAACTTTAGGCTTTTTTTAACAACCCTCTGGAAACATGCTTTTATAGAACTTTTATTACCCATATGCATGAAACTCTGAAGGTCTAAGGGATCTCTCAACATTTGTAATTTGTGTTTTGAAATTTTCAACTTTCTTACATAGAAAGATTTTATAAACCAACAAAGTGTAACCTGGATGCATGAGAAAACTGCTAAAAAAAATATTAGGCATAAAACAAGAATGAGTGAGATGATATACCAAACACATGCGACCAATACACAGTTGTACGGTGGCTGTAGTATCATTCCACTTATACATTGATCATGCCATAGCGTTCCATTCTCCTATTCCCATAAAAACTTATAAGCCTTTTCCTTATTTTAAAATATTCGATAAACCATTTTCTAGTTCTGGGAATTATTATGTAACTTCATAATAGTTATTTACATTTAAGTATTCCTAACTTTCAGTAATCATAGTTTGGTCCCTATACGCTTTCTACCTTCTTTTTTCTAAATTGGACATTTCTTTCTTTGCAGTCATGTCCTTATTCTCTTTCATTTTTGGCATTGAAAATTTCTCCCAAAAACACTTGTAAATTTGTGATTTAGTTTTTGTTAGCCATTCTATATATCTTTGCAGGGCACTTATGGGACTTCTCATCAAGTAAACTTAGCAATCTACTTAATTTAGATTTATTTTTAAGCTTCTGAGCTCAAAATTCAGAATATGACCTTTATAAAATTTACTACTTCCGGTTCCTAATATAAGAACCAAATAAATAATTTAGAGATATTAAAAAAATTATTAAGTTAGTTATTTTGTAATAAATATGTGTTGACTTTCCTAAATTATCCTTATTCAATCATATATATTGAAACTATACTTAGGTGAAAATACTTTATAATCAATAGGAATATTTTTAAGAACACATTATAAATTTGACAAACAAAATTGACTGAGGTCTTATATTTAGGACTGGAGATAGTATTTCTGAAAATAATTAAATGTAATAAATCAAATAATTTTTTTCATCTGTCTACCTCATAGTCCATCCTTTTCTTTTCCTTCCACCATTTTTTTTTAAACATGGAATTGCAGTTGCAGCTAAAGACTGAAAAGGAAACGCAATTATTTTTGGGTCTAATCAACGCCGGCCATTATCTGTTGCTGACTGAATAAAACCTTTCTTAATTACTCAATTAACAGTGTGAGCTTGTAGGGAGTAATACGCTTAAAGATATAAAAGTGGACCCACATAATGGGATTGCATGCCAATATAAGCCCCACTATTTATTTAGGGGTGAGGTACAAATTTATCCTAAAAATTTTTCATTCAAATGTGTGTTGAGCACCCATAAGGTTTTTTTTATATGTGCAAATTTGCTCTGAAAGTTTGAAATCTAAAGGGTAAAATTGCTATGAAACTCTCAAAGAAAACTGGCACACAAAAAAAACTATTGGGTGTCTATTACTTATGAGTGAAAAGGTAAGTTTACACCTTAACGTATTTATTTATGCATTTCTCATCTCGAATTGCTGGTATTGATTTTTCTTTTTTCTTTTTCTTCTTTTTTTTTGACCTTGGCGGTAGTGATAAATCATAACATACATTTTCATTTAAACATAGCTGTCATATGTATTATCTACAATGAGGTCCCAATAAAGAAAAATAATTACAAAATGAATCTTAAAAATTTGTCATTTTCTACTTTGAAACTTGTTATTACATGCTACTTAGGTTGTTATTAGAACTTTTTAGTAATTATTTTCCTTCCTTTGGACCTCACTATAATTCTCCCCAGTTTTTTTTTTTTTGGAGTAAAGGTGCATTCAATAACTTAATTTTATTTTCTAGGTACATCTAGCATCATGATCTCTTTTTTTTTTTTTGTACATCCAACACCCTAATCTCATTTTTAGTGCATCTAGCAAGGTTAGGGTACTAAATGCACTAATCCTATTTTTAGTGCATCCATCACCATAAAAATTAGGGTGCCGAATGTGACCAAAAAATAATATTAGGATGTGCTGGATACACAAAAAAAAAAAAAAGATCAGGTTACTGGATGCGTGACATAAAAGATTGGGAGAATTATAATAAGATTTCAAAAAAGAAAAATAATTACAAAACAAATATCAAAATTTATCATTTTCTACTTTGAAACTTGCCATCACAGGCTACTTAGTTTGTTATTGAGACTTTTTAGTAATTATTTTTCTTTCTTGGGACTTGATTGTAACTCTCCCTAAAAGATTATGTGCTGAATGCACCTAGAAAATAAGATTAAGGTGCTGACTACACATTTGCCCTATAGTTTTTTTTCAGTCTCATTTATAAGGCTGCAAGATATTTTCAAATAAATTATTATGTAATTACCCAAATATTGAGAAAACTCATCCTAAGATGTACATGTAATTCTAGTATGTGAGCACATGTGGGACATCCCATTACAATTTAGAGTAGGACTAGAAATCCGCTAAATACCACCATCAATCCTAAATATAAGATCTAGTTTGTAATATAATTTTCACTATAAATTAGCTCTTATATTCAGGACAAGAGGTAGTATTCACTGCAATTTCCAATCAGATTATGCACAAAATTGTATTTCTCGAGTTCACCATCACTTGTACGATCAAAATCTCATAAAAAATAACGGTTTTTTTCTTAATTTTACTATGCAAATAATTTGTTAACTCTCTTTGAAATCACATGTAATATACAATAAAGTACGTAAGAGTTGAGATACATGCAGGTAACGGCACCAAGAAAGAAGACTCCAAATGCTCCTGTAAAACTCCATAAGAAAGCTTCTCGGAAGCCATCTTCTTCTGAATGATATGATTGTGCGTTTCTCCCTGCTGGTTTATCCATAGATGAACAATTATGTTGTAAAGGTGGACCACAAAGAAAAGGATTTCCTTCATAAGAACTTGGGTCAAAAGTTGAGAATTGATTTTTCATTTCAGGTGTCATACCAGATAAATTATTGTGAGCCACAGAGAAGACAGATAGGGAATACAACTGTGTAAGTTGGGAAGGAATATGACCTGTCAATTTGTTGTATGAAAGATCTAAACTCTCTATCTGCATAAGGTCAGAAACTGTTTCCGGAATGGGCCCTGACAAATGGTTCTTCGACAAATTTAACGTATGGATAGTGTCGAAGTATCCAACTTGTAAAGGGATTTCACCTGTCAACTGATTATCTGAGAGATCTAGGCCAGACATGAAATCTAATATATTTCCTTCATATAATTCATACCTACTTTTTGACATGAAGTTCACTTCTTGTTCCTCGTACCATGAAAAATTCATTTCATATTCACCTTGAACAAGCTCCCCACTTGTGTGATTGAAGTCAAATATTGGGCCTCTTGTAGTCCAGGGTACAAAATATTTTCCTAGTTTGGCTTCGTTGATCTCATCCTTCCTTCTAAAGGTGATGTTGTTTAAGCAATATGGTATCCCACCAGAAAGCTTGTTCTGTGAAAGATCGAGTATGCTTATGTTCTTAAGCTTACATAATTCCACAGGAATAGAACCTTCGAGTTTGTTTCCCCTTAGGAGGAGGACCCTCAGATTCAACATTGACTTGAACCACCGCGGAATATGACTTGAAAATCTATTCCTTGTCAAATCCAAGGCTAACAGCAAGGGAGATTTGGCCACAACAAAAAGTATGGGTCCCGTAAAACCATTGCTTTGTATATGCAAGTACCTCAGCGATGACATATTCCTTGTCAAATCTATTCCTTTAGTTACTGCGAGTGTGAGCAAGATACGTACTGTTGATTGCTTAATAACAGGACTGAAAATGTCAGTATAATCAGCTCCAGCTTCCTGCAAGAATCCTTGCGCAACAAGTCTAGCTTTCCTTTTAACAGTGATACCCTCAGCATTGGTTTTATTTTTGAAGATCCATTTGCAACCAACTATTTTCCTATCAGTAGGAGTTGGCACTAATTCCCAAGTACCAAACTGTATAAGAGCATTGTACTCATCTTCAGTAGCTGATTTCCAATCAGGATCAGCAAAGGCCTCATGAATGGTAGTGGGACAATAAGGAATATTTGATGCTGCTAAGTACACTTTGGGTTTATAGATACCAGCTTTGGCTCGGGTAGTCATGGGATGATAATTGGAAGACATGGTAGGAATAGTTGGTGGTAAGGATGATTCTTGAACGGATATAGGTGAAGGAGAGGGGGTTTGTGTTGGACAGGGAGACGGGTGAGGTAAGTCAGATATAGTGGGAGATGGTTTGGTGATTGGTGAAGAGACTGGTATTAAAGAAGAAGTAATTTCAGAAGATGGTTGATTTTGTACGTTGTACTGACACTGAGAAGAAAAGGAATTTTCATCAAATATCACATGCCTTGATATGTAAAGCTTCCCTGTCAACAAATCAAGACACTTGTATCCCTTATGCTGAGAGCTGTAGCCAAGAAAAACACATGGTGCAGACCTATATTGAAGTTTGTGAGCATTGTAAGGGCGCAACCATGGATAACAGAGGCACCCAAAAACTTTTAATATAGTATATTCAGCCTTCTTCTCATAAAGCTTCTCATAAGGACAACTACCTTTTAAAGGTTGAGAAGGTAGCCGATTGATTAAAAAGACTGCAGCAGTAAATGCATGAGGCCAGTAGTACAGAGGTAACGAGGCTTGAGCAAGCAAGGTGAGACCAGTTTCCACAATATGCCTATGCTTCCTTTCAATTAGTCCATTTTGCTCTGAAGTATATGGACAAGAAAAACGATGTGTAATGCCTGAATCAGCCAAGTACTTACTGAACACTAAAAATTCACCACCATTATCTGACTGAAATTGCTGAATTTTTGTGTGGAATTGATTTTCAACTTTGGACTTAAATTCCTTAAAAACTTGCAGAGCTTCAGATTTTTGTTTCAGAAGATAAATCCAGACAAAGCGACTATAAGCATCAATAAAGCTAATATAGTAGGAGTAACCAGAGGAAACAATCGGGGCTGGTCCCCATAAGTCTGCCACAATCAACTCAAAAGGTTTATTGTAAACTGTATCTGAAGATACAAAAGGTAGTTTATGGCTCTTGCCCATTTGACATGCCGTACACACAAAACAAGAACTATCTTTAGGAATGGGTACATTATTTGACTGTAAAATTTTTTTTGTAACTTCCATAGAGGGGTGACCCAATCTGCGATGCCAGAGTTCTAAGGAACTTGTCATAGATGCTGCAAAACATGAGGGAGACGGAACTGATGAACCTGGTTGTTGAGCTCTTGACTTGGCGCTTTGATACTTGTACATGCCGCGTACCTCATAGCCACGCCCCAAAGTCACTCGGGTCTGCAGATCCTTAATAATACAGTCATTAGGAAAGAATTCAACAGAGACTTGATTCTCCTTGGTAAAACGAGCAATTGACACCAAGTTCTTTTTCATTTGTGGTACACACAAAATATTATGAAGATGTAACGGCCTAGTAGCAGGCAAAACAGAGTTTCCTACTACAGTGATGGGCAGAGGATGACCATTACCTACTTCCACTGTGCCGGAGCCATGATAAACAGCAGAAGGTTGTTGAATTTGAGCAGAAGTGCGTGCAACATGTTGAGTTGCACCAGAATCAAAATACCATTCATTATCACCATCTTGTGTACTTGGAGTGGCCAGATAAACTTGTGGATTTTCAGCTTGGTCAGTAGTCGGTGCAGATACTGAATTTGAAACACTCGTTGAAGTGGAATGTGTAGGAGTAGAAGCATTATGTGGTGCAGATGACTCATGAGTTGCGGTATATTCGCCAATTGGCACATCATAAGCATCATAAGTCGTAGCATAAGCAACAGGAGCAGAAGAATTAGTGGAAACATTAGAGTTGTTATTATAATGAAGATCATACCGAAAGTAACAACGATCAGCGGTGTGACCGAGCTTACTGCAAATCTGACACGATGGTTTGGCACTGGTAATAAATCGACCTCGACCACGACCATGAGAGGGAGCAGGACCTCTAAAAGGTGGCGGTGGTGCTCCTCTATTTGAACCATATCGAGGATTATAGGCTGTTTGAAAAACCTCCTCTGGTTGATTAATTGATACAGCCTTCATTGCAGAAGTTAGATGCACTTGTGCTGAAGCAGACTAGATAAATGACTTTTGACGAATCTCTGCATCTAGTAGCATAGTGTGAACCTCTGATAGTGCATAACGCCCATGAGCAGCATTTATCACGGCAATGACCGCTTCATATTCTGCTGACAGACCGTTGAGAATGTGCGAGATATGATCTGCATCAGCTACACGATGACCGAGCATTGCAAGATGGTCACAAATGGATTTAATAGTGGCAAGATAATCACGCATAGCAAGCTCGCCCTTCTTTTGGTTTGTCAATTGATTCCTATACGAAAGAATCTTAGCATCTGATTTGGACGAAAAAATCTGCTCAAGTCGAGACCAAATCTGAGCTGCAGTGTTGAATCCGACAAGTTCGGGCAATACCGAAGGACTGACTGAGGAAAGAAGCCAAGATGCAAGCGAGGAATCCTGGACTTCATACTCTTCATAGGCCGGGTTTGGACCCGTCACATCATTTCCAATAGTGATGGTGGCTGCCGGAACCTTTGCAGAACCATCGAGTAAGCCAAGCAATCGGTGTTGCTTTACCATCAGTTGCACTTGTTGTTTCCACATCAAGTAGTTATTATCATCGAGCTTTACTGTAATCTTCTTGTTCATGAAGAATCTTGGTGCTGAAATAGCAATATGAGCATCATCACGAGCAGCACTGAAACCATCCAATGAAGTCATGATAGAGCGTTCTTGAGAACACGATAAGAACGGAAAGAATGGAATAGTGGATCGAAGAATCACGCCGGCAGAGCACGGCGGCTCTGATACCATATACGATTATGGTCAGAGAAAGAAGATGATGAAACCTTCAATTTGTTATTCATCAACCCAATTCAGAACGGTGTACATCTACTGCATATATAGTACACGTGGGTTCTAACTAAACTTAGTTACAGACTCAACAAGTTGCCAACTTGACAGATGGTGACAGCTGGACACAACTAAAGCCCATTGGACTTATACACTAACACCATTGAATCTATTTTGAGAAAGGTCTAAGTATTTGAGCTCAGCTAAATTGCAAAAGCTTTGTGGAATTGGACCTGACAGAGAATTTTGGGATAAAATGAGGTAAGCCAAATGCTTGAAGTTTCCAATCCAACTAGGTATTTCTCCATATAGTTGGTTTGCACTTAAACGCAACATTCTTAGTTCTGAACTTTTAACAATACCATCTGGCACTTTTCCTTTGAAGTTGTTGTTGCTTAGATCCACAGACAACAAATGTGTGAAATTTGAACCTCCTGCTAAACACGGACCACTTAAGTTGTTTTTTGACAACTTCAGAAACCACAAGTCATTGTGACCCTTACCAAATTCTTGGGGCAAATAGCCAGACAAATTGTTATTGGACAAGTCTAGCGAGTTTAACTGCCTCATATCACTGAGCGAAGCTGGAAATCCACCAAATAATGAACTGGAAGACAAGTTTAGAGAAAGCAAGTTGGGAAGAACATATCCAATATGAGGAGGGATTTCATCATTAATAGGGTTAGAGAAAGCTTGAAAATACTGCATATCAAGTAATTTTGAGGTGGATTTGAGCTTGAAGGGACCAGTCAAGAAGTTGTGGTTGACATTGAGAGTATTTAATTTGGTGTTGTTTGTGAAAGCCCAGTTTGGGAAACTTCCCGAAAGGTTCAAACGGACAAGTTGTAGAACTCTCAAGTCATGTTGATGAAGAAGAAAAGATGGTACAATTCTGCCATTGCTTCCTTCATTCATAGTGCACTCGGATACACTGAAAATCTTTAATTGGAATGAAGGGACAAATTGGGGGTTTTCAGTTTCAATCTTGAGATTGGGATTATTAGAGCATGAAATTGTGAAAACTTGAAGCTTGGAGTGGTTGGCAAACAAAGAAAGCGATGCTATGCCAGTGAAATTACTTTCATCTAAGGTAATGTATTTGAGGGACTTGAGAGAATGAAAGAGCTCACATGGGAAGGTTCCTTCAAAACCATTGTATTAAAGATCAAGTACACGGAGAGATGTCAAATTATTGAGGCATGGAGGAAGGAGTCCCTCAAACTTGTTCTCGTCAAGAGACAATATTTCTAGATTCTTCAAATTGCATAGGCCTCCTGCAACATATGTATTTTTTTTATTAAATTCTTTAAGTGATGGAAAAGAAAAAGTTAAACTTTATGCAATATATAGGTTAAACTTTAATATATATTAACGACTTTTTAAAGTATTGGTGCATGGGCACTGAACCAATTTATGTGTAGATTAGACTTAATAAATTAATTTATGATTAAATACTTGAGCTAAAAAAAAATTGATTATGGGCGCCTAAAAGTGAACTTGAACTGATAGGAGTACATATATAGGGCCATTTAGGTTAGGTTAGCTTAGTGGAGTGTGAGTAGAGGTCAAGAGTTCAATCACTCCTAATATAGCCAAAAATAAAAAATTGAGGCTCCATAGTGCAAAAAAGAAATCAAAATTCTTATCTTGTTGACATTTGTGTTTAGATCTCAATAAATACTTTTGTCCCTTTGTTTTCACTCTGCCTAAATTAAACATTATTTCAAAATAAAATTTTTAAGATATAAGTCGAGTTTTACTATAAAATATAGCAGTTCTCTCTAGGGCTAGACGCATTACAATAACTACAGCAAGCTATCTATTGGCCTATACATGAAAATTAAATGCTTACTTATTCAATCAATGAATCTCAAGAAAAACCTTAAACATTATTAATTTTCATTTAAAATTCAATGATTTTTCAATTTTATTTCTATTTGATATACATTATATTCCATGAAAAAAATGTCAACATAATAATAAATGAAAGATAAAATTGTGCATTTACATTTTTAAAAAAAAATTTCTCTATTTTATAAATAGGACAACAAAATTCTTCTCTGTTTGCCCTATAAATATAGCAGATTAAATAATTCATCAATCTATTCTTATCTTTGAGGTTAAACATTTGACATAGTAAATTATTTTTACTAAAGAAAGATATAAATATAATAGTACCTTGCTGTGGTAATGAGCCTTTTAGGCTATTGCTATAAAGGGACAATGTTCGCAAGGAGGTTAGAGATGTGAGAGACAATTGATTAGATTCTGCATGACCATCCTCCCAGTAATTTGAAGATAATTCCAAAGTCTTCGAATTGCGTGAATGAAAATCATCTACAAAACATGAAATATAAATATTTAAAAACAAGATCATAAATAAGTAAACAAATGTATACTAAGTTTTATGTCCTTTTCAAGTTATGGCCTTGACGTTGCTGGTGGCTTGGAGCTGCCATTACTTTATTTATTTCAAAATTGATTGGTCAAGTTACTAAATGACTTAATAATCTCTATTTTTTCCTTCAGTTTTCATACATTTAAGTAAAAACACCATCTTTGTTTTTTTTGCCGGATAAAACACCATCTTGTTATTCAACTCTCAATGTTTTCAACGACTTCTAAACTTCAATTGCTGATTTTTCTAAAAAGAAAGAACCAAAGAACATGATATGGGATCTAAGAGAACTTGGAAGGTAAAATTCAAGCACCAGAGAAGTGGATTTCAGTCAGCTGATTATCTTCCAGATACAAAGTTTGCAAGTTGTCCAACCTAATTTCGCCAAATAGCCCTGCTCCAATATATAATAACAGAAATATCATTAGTTACTCTTAAACATGTCCTAAATATGCAAATCATAAAACAATTGGTGGGGAGAAGAAAGAGACCTGACAAGTAATTTCCAGACAAATCCAATTCTTGAAGTTGGTGGAAAGGGAGAAAATAAGAAGCATTCAGTGACCACTTGAAGTGTTCTAACTCTGGAGCTCTTCTATTGATCAAAACAAGGCTTATAACCCTGTGTGTAGCAGTATCACAGGTCACACCCTCCCAAGTGCAGCAATCATAATGGTTAAGGTTATTCCAAGAAGGAAGAGAAGAACCATTTGGGTAACTGAAAGCTCCTTTCAATCTCAAAAGAGCTTCTCTCTCTTCTTCCAAACATCCCTCACTTCCATCATCAGACCCTAATATTATTATAATAACAGCAACCACCCACCTCATCACTTGTTTTCTGACCCAAAATCCCATTTTTTCAGTATGCTTCCTTACTTTGCTTCAATCCTTCTTGGTTTTCTTCACCTGCGATCGAGCTGAGTCTATATAGGCCGCTTAGGATTTTTTTAATTAATTTTTTACTTATGAATAGGATTGTGAGTTGTTAGGTAAACCGAGTTAAATCAGAGTTGAGCACTAATTGACCCATTGACTTAGAACTCAAAATGAGACTAAAAATCTGAACGAATTTAGAAAACTGGACACGCTTTGGGCGTGACCAAGAGGGGGAAAAAAAGCTTAAAAAATTTTAAGACAAAAACCTATCAAAAATTAAAAACAAGATGTCCTCTCAAAAACAGATTCTTCTTTCCTAACCTTATTGAACTTATAACAATGCATAAAACTTGTCCCCATCTTCTAAGCCTTTTGATTTGTCCTCTTTACATGGGTTCTTTCTACCTTATTTTTTAAAGCTCACGGGCATTAACTATCACCTTTAGCTTTAAAATTTATGACATAGGCTTGTTGGTTGTTAGGGATATAAAAAATCAATTATCGATTTGCCTATGAGATCGACCCACGAATTATACACCGCCCATGCTCTTTTTCTTTTTCTTTCTTTTTCTTTTTTACTTTTTTGACTACTATATAATACTATATATCCATGTGATTTGACTTTTCATCCGAATCAATGAAGTTGGTTAGAAAAACTATGTGCTGCAAAATATAAAACGAATTAATGTCATTTTTTTTACTTTTTCCCCTCTTAAATATAAAAGAGAGATAAGAGATAATAAAGTGTATTTAAAGTAATTTATTACTTTTGAATTATATTCCTTAGGAATAAAAAAGAAAAACTTTATCATTTTAGGAGTTTAAACTTTATTTTTTTAAGTTTATGATAAAATGTGATCAACTCTTTATATTATGAATGAGAGGGAGTGGCTGAGAAGTGGGAGGCCAGGCTTCATCTCACCCAAGTACCCCCATATGACGTGGAGTTTGGGTATCGGGCTATCTTCGTATTTGTGTCTAGCCTTGGCCCGGCCTAAAGAGAGATTCTTAGAAAAACCTTTTAAAAAATAATAAAATATATATAACAAAACAAATATATATAATATATATTTATATTACTCCATTAACATATGATGCAAATAAATATTCTCTTTTCCATTAACATAAAGCCAAGCCAACAAAGCCATGATATAGCATATTACTCCATTAACATAAAACCAAGCCAATTAAGTTATTTAGTCATACGATGCAAATATATATATAACAAAATAAATGCAAGTGTCTAGGTGTAAATAAACAGATAAAATTTGACAATTTGCAAGTGAAATTCAATACATTACAACAAAAATTCGGCTATTTACAAGTAACATAATAGAATTTACAACTCCAAATGTAAGTATTTTTGTGTGAATGAGCAAATAAAATTCAAAAATTTATAACAAAAATTTATGGATTTATAACATAAATTTGGTGATTCACAAGAAATATAAGGAAATTCATAAGCCCAAATATTAGTGTTTGAGTGTGAATGAATAAGTGGAATTCAGCAATTTAGAACAAAAATTTTTGAGACGAAATAAAAGAGAGATGAGACAAAAATGTCTCAGAGTTGGACATGACACTGGAGGAGGTGTTTCATCCTGATTTCTATATTATTTTTTAATTTTATAAATTTATTTTACATGTCATTAATATAATAATATTATAATTTTTAATTCTAAAAGTCTTTGATTTTTTCAGTGTTGGATTTTTTTAATTCCTTTTTGGCCTTCCATTCTCAGAAGAATTGTAATAAAGTTTTAAGTAAACAACATAATTATTAAAAAGTTTCAATGATAACAAAGTAGCTTGTAATTAGAGTTGAAAAAACAGGTCCAGTTCCTAACCCCAAAAATTGTGAGGAGATTAGAATTTTCCTATTAAAATGAAAAATGGGGTTTAAAAAGAATTGGTCCTGACCCTGTAGGGCAAGGATCTAAAAAAGGCAGTTTTAGAGTAATAAATAATAAGGACTCACTCATCATTAAGATTTTTAGTAATTATATTTATTATTTAGGATTTCACTAAAATTTTTTTAATAAAATAAAAACATCAGAAGGGATCATGAATAAAATTACATCTTCAATTTTTTTTTTCTATTATACCTCCAATAAAAATATTCACATGACAAAGCAAAACGCGGCTTCTTTTCTTTTTTCTTGTGGTTAGTCTTGACAAAACATTCGCCCTTACATGTGGTGGGACCTTTACTTTTCTACACATCCCGAGGTCTAGGCCTGGTTTTTCTGCAACCTTTCTTTTGACTCTTTGACTAATTTAGGGGGTGTTTGGGTGATAACCCAAACCATGGTTTGGGAAAAAATCACTCAAATACCATAAAAAAAAAACCAAAACCATGGTTTTGGCAGAAACAAAAATTTTTCGCTTTTGGGAGAAAAAGAGAGAGTGTGAGAGTTTATGGGATATGTGCTTTGTTGTTTTTTTTTTTTTTACCCAGACAGATATACCCTTCCCAATTATTCATCTCTTTCTTTTCAGACATAGTACGAGGGAGAGCCTGAGAGTAGATCTCAATAATAATATGACTTTAACACCCCGCAATTATTTTTTTATAAACATATTTAATCTTATATCTTATAAATATACATACACATACTAATTATTTATTAATTATATTATCTTATGTATTATTAATTATGTTGATGAAAAATATATTATTAACAATTTTATTCCTTCAAATTAAAATATATCATAAAATCTATTTTTTATGCAATTATCATATTAACTTATGCCTTTTTTAATAATTTGTATATATAAAAAGTGCTTCTAATAACAACTATCCAAACACTCTCACTTTTCAGAATTATTTTTTCACAAAATCTATTCTTCACAAAATCTATTTTTCCCAAAATTGATTCTTCAGAAGCTATTCTCCAAACAATAGTTTAGTTTTATCCAAACACCCCCCTAATTGAAAATTATTCCAACCTAAGTTCCGGTGTATTACTTTTTTCTTTTTCTTTTGGAAAAAACGGTTAAAATATTTTTTCTTTTTTTTAAGTGTATCTAAGATTTTAAATTATTTATAGTGCAGTTAACATTTTAAAATATTTTTAGGTGCTTCTATTACCGTAAAGTATATTTTGGTGTATCTAATGCCTCAAAATATTTTTTTAGATGCATCCAACACCCAAAAATATTTTTAATGCATCAAGCACCAAGGTAAAAAAAGACTTTATAGTGATGAATACACCTAAAACATGTTTCGAGATTCTGAATGTACCATAAAATATTTTGGGATACTGAATACACTTAAAAAAATATATATTTCAGAGGTGCTTGGTACACCTTAACCCCTTCTATTATTACTTTGCTTAATCACTAAGGAAAGAGTGGTGTTAATAATGGAGGAATTATCCTCAGTGTCTGCCACGTAATTAATGGAGCTGGTTTATCTTCTCTGTTAAATAGAAATAAAAGAAGGCGAAAAATAAAGGTGTTACCGTGCGCAGCCGACTGAGACTTTAAGTTTATCCAAATAAATATGAAAACCACAACTTTTTTCATCATACATGATAATGAGAACGGATCCAAAAGAGAGATAGGAACGGAGTTCATACATATACTTCATACATAATTAGATGTAGACACAAAACACCGCTGCCCTGCCTGTACTCATTAGATAAGTTTAAAAGATTCCACTTTATATTAATTAACGAGAACACTGCTATTGTCATTTGTCATGTACCTTCATCTTCTTCCTTCTTCTCGGGCATCAAATCATCGCTGTTTCTTGCTTTCTTGAAATGTTAGGAGTATTTTCCTGGTATCGAAGGCTTTGAAGTCCTTATAGTCCTTTCATCAGGCATTTTTGGATTTTACAACTTTCTTTGAACCTGTGCAAGAGGCTATATATTCCATCTAGAAGACCGGTTTAAAATTGGTTCACTTTTTTTCCTCTTCAGTATCCTATTCCATCTAAAAGACCATGTAAGTTGGGTACAAGAGAAGGAAATAGAAAAATAATGGAAATAAAAAAGAAGGTACTAAAAGATAAACCGTGTGGAGCCACTAGGAGCTATAAAGCAATCAGTTTTTGTTATTTGGCCTTGCCATCCTTGGTTGGTACAAATAATTCACATGGAGACGTTGTAAGTTCTGTACCAAACATGCACACACAAAAAAAAAAAAATCAATCAAGAAAGGGGGCATGTATTTAAATGTGTGTGTATATCTATACTAATGTTTGGATTTTTCCAGGTTAAAATATGCCTCAGAATATTTTTTAAAAGGACAAAACATCGTATGCTTTTCAAGGGGGGAAAAAAAAATACTTGCCATCGATGAATCATTACATATGGTTGCTCCTAGACGACTAAATTTAAATGCTTTTTATGAAAAATAAATAAATAACTCAGTCGTATCCCTCTTTCTCTATATCTGTTTTTTATCCTTTTATTCTCTATCTCCACAATCTTTGACATAGCTATTCTTGCTTAGCACTTTCTTTTACAAAAAGGAATGACGTGATTCTTTTTTTTTTTTTTGAATTTTCCTATTCGTATAAATTAAAAAAAAAAATTAGCAAATAGGAATGGAAAACTTTTAGTTTGGGGAAAATTTTGTTTAAGGACCGTATACAAAATTAATTTCAGAGAGCCCCAAAACTTTCTAAAACTTCACTGCAGGACCAAGGGGCAAACTAATATTAATTTCACAAAAAAAATGACGCTATTGCCCCTCATAATACTTATTGCGGGGTGATATGTAAATGGACTACTTTCAGTTGTAAATAAAGGTATATATGTTGCAAATTATCTAGTCCCACTTGCAAATAGGCTCTCCCATACTTGTTCACTTACGGACACCTTCTTTAGGTGAAGGAGGTGACATATAAACGGACTAATTCCAATTGTAAATAAATATATGTATGTTGCAAATTGTCTAGTCCCACTTGCAAATGGACTCTCCCACACTTGTTTACTCACGGACACCTTCTTCAAGTGAAAAAGGTGATA